CACGCCCTCTGACAGACATTTTACACGCCGTGCACGCCCAGTGGCAGGGTCTCTGCGCTTTGCTACGTCTGCTGATGCTGCATGCATGGCCTTTGCGCTGGCGGGCAACGAAGGCGGCCGCAAGGATCGCCTCGTCACGCGCGGATAGGTACGCGCGCGCGCGAACGCCCCGCGCCTCTGTCTGCGCGCAAAGCTCAAAACTCATGACTGCGATCGCGGAGGGCGGCAGGCGGCGGCTGATGAGGCAATGGCGCTGTAGCTGCCGGCAGTGCAGCAGAAAGCTGTGCGTTGGGGTGGTCACCATGCGCCAGCTTTGCTTGGCTTATTCGATGCCCATGCACTGCTGTGGGGTGCGCGACGTACGCTATCAGTAATTCTGATGATGTTTGGACCCTCGCACCGGTGCGGTGCAGACCACGAATGCTCTTGCTCTCGCTCTGAGATTTCCCGACCCCAGCTCCAGTGCCTGATGTCTAGTTCTGGAGCGAAGCAATCTCGAAGCTCACTCGCAACTCTAGAATGCTGCACTACCACCTCAGCTGTCCGACGCAGCTACGACTTGTCCCGAGAGCAGCGAAGCCGTTGCTGACATAGATGTGCGCTTAGTCCGACAGGGCTCCGCTCACCTGACCCAGAGGGCGCAACAACTCTTCTGAAGCGCTCGTCGCTTCGCAAACGGACCGACCAGCTAGCGTATTGTGCGCAGGTCACTCGGCACGACTCCTTCGCGGTATACTGTGGTCACCGACTCTCTGATGCTCTGCCAACAAACGGGTCATGCTCGAGTCCCGCGTCGTGCACTCACGCTCTCGCCTCTTCCTCTGAGGCTGTGGGTGATCCGATTGAGAACGATTGAATCCGCGATGAGCCCCCCCGCCAGGAATGTTGATCGTTAGATTCGCCTCTTCGTCTTCCTTGTGATCGCTTTGCGTGGGTGTACGGCGACCACCAGAAGACATGATGGGCGAGTCGGTGTGCGATGCAGTGGGTCGAAGAAGAGCTGGTGCCAAGGGTATCAATGTGTGCGAGGAGCTCTGCCTACTGCAGGACCGGCAGGACAAAGAGGTGGCTATGACGAGGACCTGATGCGAAGAAATCAGGGAGAGTGGTGGTGGAGAGATGGGCTATCGAGTTGGCACAGACGAGATGTATGAAGGGCCTCAAAGGCTTGCGACCGAGTGTATGCTCTGCCATCTCCCCTTGCCTAGCCGAATCACGAATGCAGGGAGCACCGAGCGGCCTGCAAGAATGAGGGCAGCCGGCACGCTCGTCAGGGCTAAATGACGATTGCTGATGTGCCTTCATGCAAAGCCCCCCCTTGGGTCAGTTGGCGGTACATACTTGCCAAGGCAAGAAGACCGCGATCGTGGTCAGCGCGCGGGCAAGCCTCCCATCCTCTCGCTGCAGCAGCATCCGCATGTATGCGCGCGGCGTGGCGGGCGCGCGAACTACGATGACCTGCGTGGCTGGCTGCCTGCATGCACGCCAGCAGCATCAGCAGCTATAGCTGGCAGCCTAGCTTTAGGAGCCACAAGCGTTCCTGATGTACATGCAGTAGCAGGTGCTCTCAGCATCGCGGAGGGTGCATGCGGTGGGAATCGAGGTTCATAAGCTTGAACACGAAGGTGGCTTGGTCTAAGCAGTCTCGAGTATTACACAGTCAAGAGTGGTTTATGTGTCTTGATTCGTCACTGTCCACAATTGAGCATTAGATGCCAAGCTCCTGGACACGCTTCCAAGCCCATTCGCCAGGCCCGCTCAACATCTCTCGAGGCTGCTCAACAACGTGCACACGCGCATTTCACGAGGCCCGCAGCGGGAGAGCGGAAAGGGACGGACACGGAAGGATGAGTACGCATTGCAATGAGAAGAAACGAAAGATGGCTGAATTGAGATTGTGTGTAGAAGCAGAATGGCCCTTCAGTCGTGCCTAGTGTGGTGCATCTGCATTGTCCGCAAAATGACTTGCG